GCTGCCCCAAAGAAGAGGGAGTCAAGCTATTCTCCAAAGCGCCTGAAGGCAGGACAAGAAGCAACGGATGGAAACTAATCAAGGAGAGAAGCAACCTAGAACTAAGGAGAAACTTCCTGACAGTGAGAACAATTAACCAGTGGAACAACCTGCCTCCAGAAGCGGTGAATGCTCCAACACTGGAAGTTTTTAAGAAGAGGCTGGACAGCCATTTGTCTGAAATGGTATAGGGTTTCCTGCCTGAGCAGGGGGTTGGACTCGATGACCTCCAAGGTCCCTTCCAACTTTTTTTATTATTATTATTATTATTATTATTATTATTATTATTATTATTATTATTATTATTATTATTATTATTATTATTATTATTATTATTATCCCAAAATGCCCTTTTAAATGACGAAAAAGGTTAAATGAAACATTTAAATGGTTGGGATTCCTTGTGATGACACAGAAATATTGTCTGTAGGAGACGCAGCTGCTTTTAATTAATGAATTAAGGGTCCATTGTAGTGGGATGACTATCAAATTTAACGAGAAATAAAGTTTTTATTTTAGGACTCATTGATTATCTGCTATGGATTTTATAAACTAATTCCACCGAACCACGTTACGTTTAAGAGGTGATATGAAGTAACAGTCAGGTTCTGTCGTGAACACTTGATCCAGATCTCAGATGCAAATTTATTATATTGCCGTTGATTGAAATGCATGGAGGGTCCACAGTCAATGCGGTAGAAACAATTAGGTTTTCAACGGGTTTACCCACTTCATGTTTTGAACTCAGTGAGGTTGGCTGTTTCCTTTCTCTCCTCCAGCTGGAGCGTACCTTGGAGGGACCATCAATCCAGAACTGTACCGTTTTCCGGAAGACGAGAGTGAGACGGACTTCCCGGAAGGAAATATTGGCCGGCTTTGGTTCTCCGTAGAATATGAGAAAGAGTCCGAAAGGCTGCTAGTCTCCTTGATTAAAGCCCGGAAACTTCAGCCTCCTTCTGGTTCCTGCAACCCCTTGGTGAAGATCTACCTGCTCCCGGACGAGAGGCGTTACTTGCAATCCAAAACAAAACGCAAAAATCTCAATCCTCAGTTCGATGAGGATTTTGTTTTCCAGGTGAGCGTTGCCGAAGACGAGCTTGACCACCGTCATCCAGCTGTGGAAAGCTGACAGCCTGGAAATATCCGCTGTTGTGGGGTCCTTGGTATTCTCTGATCTTGGGTTGTTTTCTTGCAGACATTACATTACCCAGATGTCAACGCTGCTAACATCGGATGTTTTTGCTTTGACAACAGATGGAGATGCAACCATTTTCTTCTTTTGTTTTACTCTTAGAGTTAGATGATGCTGGGGGGAGGAACGTGCATGAGAGTTTAGCTAGACATAACAATACTGAACCTAGTGTGAGAACCAAGGTTATGGAAATAAGAGATGATAAGAGTTTCATCTGTTGGAATCATGACACCAACTAGGTAATGTCAGCAGTGCTACAAGAGAATGGGGTTTGTGGGGAGGACGAGGAAGAGGAGGAGGAGGAGGAGGAGGAGGAGGAGGAGGAGGAGGAGGAGAGGGGGAAGAGAACTATGACGTCCTTGGTGCTCTCTGAGATGGATTGTATTCTTGTAGATGTTTCATTACCCAACTGGGTAAAATCATCAGAGCTAGAAGGGACTGGTGTTTGCTCTTTATTTATATATGTGGCTTGCCCTGTCACTATTGGTAGAAGTATTATTTTCTTCTTGGTAATTCCTTGATTGGATTTCAGGTCCAGGTTTTCAGCCAGCCAGTCACACCAGCCCCCCAAAAATCCTCAAGACCTTATCACTCCCAAATGTTGAGCTAGGAGTGACCAACGGTGGTCTCCTTGGAAGACCATTCTCATTTGAGGGCAGATGATTGAAGTGTTGGATCCAATGCTCCCTTATCCTTCACGAAACCTTGGGAAGTCCCCTCTGGAGAAACCGACCAGAATGGAGCTTTACCTATTCCCAGAATTAAAGTGAAGAAAGTTCTGAGCCATCTGCTCTACCCTGAATATCCCAGATTATCTTGGTCTGCCTCACATTCAGAGTCAGATTCATCCCAACTGCTTCTCCTTCTGTGCTTCCTCCTCTCTAGATTTCAAGCGCTGTTTTATTTCAGAGGACGCTGAAGTTCTGCGTCTACCATGTTGATAAACAGAAGAAGCATATTCTCCTGGGCCAAGTTATCTTCCCACTGAAAAATGAAACTTTGGCTGAAGATGGAAAGGTTGTGGTCTGGAGAGATTTGGAACCAGATAACCTGGAGGTAAAATATTAAATTCGTTAGATGAATAAGCACACAAGTTTGTTTTGGGTGGGTTTTTTGACGTTGGCTAGAATTCACAGATTATTTAACTTCCTCTGTAAGTGTTTTGAACTTAGTGCAGCCTGTGAAATTGCTCATTCGCATGTGAGAAACTGTTATTTTATAATTTGGGGGAGCTGTGGGTTCACCGAGAATGGGGCAGTGAGGACAAAAATTAGTTGAGGCTGTTTTTCTTTTGATTTGTTGGGACCTTTTGAAGGAAGTTCTTTGCTTTCTAAGCTACGCTAAGTCCATGTTGAGAGCGACAAGCGTGTCCTGTTTCAAAATGGTGAGGATTTGTGCCATATATTTTTTAGCAATAGCGGAGATTATCTGGGAATACAAATAAGGGATCAAATTAAGTCTTGATATCTAAAATGAGGTACTTCTGACTTGTTTCAAACTAAACCTTGATCTGTTCTTCAGAAAACCCCGGCTTAGCATTATGTGTGACTATAATCAGCATCAGACTGGGTGAGCCAAGAAAATCCTACTGATCTTATTGGCCTTCTTCCCTCTTGTCAGTCAAACAGAAGAAATTTGTTGAGGAAAGGAATCAGATGTTGCTGATGTAGGAGGACATTTCAAGTTGAGCAACATTTTCCTCCTTCACCACAATGTTGACCATCCACCAACATCTGGGGTGGATGAAGGAGAAGGAGAATTAATTACGGACTCATTAGCATTGCCGTTTCTAGTTCAGCCATCCCACTAATTGGAGTGAATAAGAGTTCAAGTTGTGGAAGAAATACTATTTGTTCAAGATTTCTGACCCGTGTCTTTTTCTGCCTCCTTCAAGCCACCTTCTGAGCATGGCGACCTCCAATTCTCCCTCAGCTACAATGACTACCTGGCCCGCCTCACGGTGGTGGTGCTGAGGGCACGAGGTTTAAAGGTCCAGAAAGAGCGAAACAGTGTTGGTCAGTATGTGAGATATCTACAACTATTTTGCTTCGTTTCTTTTCTTCCTTCTAAGTCAAATTTGTAGGAATAACTCTTGTCTTGTTCATGACTGTATTCTGAATAATATGCCCATTAACGACCTCTCTAATCATCAGCTGGAAAATTGACTAAACTGGCACCTTCGTTCTTCAACCGCGAGAGGAAAGCGGGCAAAAGTTAAATTAAATTCAAATTAAATGTTTGATTGTGTATCCCACATCTCAGTTTGGGTCTAAATTGCTACCTTGTCTGGATTATGAAACTCCAGACCACCAGATGGCAGGATTGAGGTATAGTTCTTGTTTCTCTTTGCTGCCATCCAGTGGCCATTCAGAAATTTACAGCAGCCAACAGTAAATTAAAGTAATTCCTCCGCACACAGAACTTTAGCCCAAAATTCCTGTTTCAAAAACTGTTTATTCTCCACATCAAGCAATTTCATCCCCAAAGATTTTACTCTGAGACTCAGTGTCGAATGTCCTCTAAATATTCTCAGGAGATTTCAATATTTGCTTCATATCCTATCTGTATTTGACATCTCATGATCTTACGCTGCAGTATTTGACATTTGCTATTTATCAGTTGGTGTGTAAACTTACACTACAATACTCCAGTCTATTAAAAAGTGGACAAATGGGGATTTATGAGGGCATGAATAATCCTTCACATTATATATATCCCTAACCCTCTCTTTCCCATGGCACCCCAAGTTGGCAACGTATTGAGGCATTATAAAGAAAGGGGTACAGATTATGGTTAAAAAAAAGTCAAATTGGCAAATACAGAGGTGCAATCAAAACTCTTTTTATGTGTGTTGCCTGTATAATGCAGATAAGACAGTCGGGGCCTTGATCACATCATTGTGGCCGCCATCTTGATTTTGATTGACACTAATCCACCAGGCAGGGGGTGAGATTGGTGCTAATTTCCCCTACCTTGATAGCTTCATGCTTATGCTATGAACAAAAGATCTCAATGACAGGTGACTTCCCTCTCTTAGAACCATTTTCAAGACCTTGTGAAAACTTCTCCAAGGTCAGATAGCTGGTATTTTGTGAGTCAATAAATCACTGCTTCCCGGTGCCCTGATTTTTGGGTCTTGGCTTTCTCCTGCAGTCATTACAGGATCTCTAGGAGGTTTAACCCATTTATTTTGCAAGGACCACACTTCCAACTTGCCAAAATAAAACAAATATTAACCATTTCAGCGCCAGAGATATTTAGAATTAGAATAACGGAGTTGGAAGGGACCTTGTAGGTCATCTAGTCCAACCCCTCCCAACCAAACAGGAGACCCTACTACGCCATTTATGACAGATGGCAATCCAGTCTCTTCTTGAGAGCTTCCGGTGAGGAAGCTCCCACAACATCTGAAGACAACTTCTGTTCCATTGGTTGATGGTTCCTATAGCTTTTGGAGGCTAAAGAAAAAAAAGATGGAAAAGTTGTGTATTCCTGCCCCTCTCTATATATCTGAGGTGAGAAGAGATCATACTCACACTGTCTGGCTCAATTTAAATCATATAGAATAGCATTGGAAGGGTCCTGATATCAAAACAATGTGTTCTGGCTTTCTGATAAGGCATCAAAAGATGACACACTCGAAGTATTCAAAGTGCAAGACTTTCCTATGAGATGTTTGAGCAGCATACATTGGATATTGACCAAACTTTGTTTTAGATATATCTATATCTACTTTGCAACAAGATCAAATTTCCTATATCCATGCTGATGTTGCTGGGAAATTTGGAGTATTGTTGGAGGTGCAATCCATAACATTAAATTAAAATTATATTCTTCCAAAGTGTCATTTTGGAGCTTGTGTTTGAGTATTGTTTTTCTTCTCAGTGTTTCCAACCTCATCCTTTCGTTCCAGGTGTGTGTGTCAGAGTGTCACTAATGAACCACAACCAGCTCATCAAAAGCAAAAGGACCACAGCAATCATTGGATCCTCCAATCCGTTGTACAATGAGACTTTTAGCTTCAAGGTGGACCAGCTGGACCTCGACGCAACCAGTCTGAACTTGTCTGTTCTGCAAGGAGATGGTAAATAGCCTTGGGGACTCACATTTACATTTCCGCCATGATCTTTATTTAATCCTAATGATTTTTGTGGCTTTTGTTTAGAGACATCCTCGCTGGGCCGTGTGATTGTGGGGCCCTTTATGTACACCCGGGGGAAGGAACTCGAACATTGGAACGAGATGATGAGCAAACCCAAGGACCTGGTCAAAAGATGGCATGCGCTGTCGCTTAGCAGCTGAACACTCTTACAATAGATAGTTTCTATTTCCATGGTGGGTCCATCTGAGGTGAAGTCCGATTCTATTCATCAGAGAAGTTCTGGGTCTCAGTGATCAAAAGACAAGGGATCACCTTTCTTGAAGACATTGGATCTCACGCTAGTAGATTATCTCAGATTACCCACTGAATGAAAATGAGAAGATTGATCCTAAAAACGAGAAGACCCCCCATCAATCACAAGAAACGTGTGCCAGACGTATTGCTCCTTTGATCATAAACTGACATTTGATGCCTCAACCCCCAAGTTCTGTGAATTAGTAGAATATTTCAGTATAACTCAGAGCTGAAATTAAGGGGTTAAGAGTATCTATGTCGGGGCGGTTGCTGTCACCCCAGATAAATGACAGTTTATGAAATGACCACCTACAAAAGGACTCTTCCAAAAGTTGCTGCAAGCTAGCAGTTTGAAAGCATAGAAATGCGGGTAGATAAATAAGTACCACTTTGGTGGAAAGGTAATGTTCCATCCCAGCCTACTTAAGCTCCTTGTTAAGTTCACAAAGAGAAAACCCCTCTTCAAATCAAGCAGGAAGAAACTGCAGGACAAACCCAAACCCTTCTTACTCACAGACTTGAGGAAAAACAAACACAGTTCATCACAACTTGATTCTTAACCCGAACGGTTGCCTTCGGCAGCCAGCACCTCTCACACCTTCCCTTTTATTATGCACCCCAGGCGTGGCTTCCTAATGCCTTCTCCTTTGCCTTTGGAGCCGTCCCATTGCCTTCCTCTGTCCTACTCTCTTTTCTTGCCTGCACATTCGTGCATCCTGGATATCTCCCAGCTGTGATTCATCACTGTCCAACTCAGCTTCCCAGCATAGCTGTGTCTCAGCCTGAGCACGAGTAGAGGGGCCAGGCTCCTCGTCAATCTTGTAAATCTTGTAGCTCCTCAGAGCCTCCCTCTGACTCTGATGACACTCCAGGCCCTCCCTCCTCTGAGTCTTCAGACTCAGCTGCCGGATCCATGGGCTGGCGAGGAATCACAACAGGTAATAGCACTCCAAGTTGTCATGCTGGCTTTAAGACCTCGGCAATGTCTTTGGAAGTGCTGGCTCAATGGCTTTGAAAGGGAGATGAGCACCCCTCCCTAGACTCAGCAACAACTAGTTGAGTAAAATCTTCCTCCCTCCCAATCTGCCGTCTAGAATATTTCCACAGCTTATTTATTGTTCATCTCGGCAACAGGCTTGTAAGATCTCATACAGGAGTCCAGTGATTATCAGAGAAGAACTGAATCACCTTGCAGAATCAGAAAAAAGGGCCAGCTAGTTTGCTTTAGTGAGCATAAATATTCAAGCTATCTCCTTGGTGAAGAATGGTTGCAGAAATTGGGTATGTCTAGTGCAGGGGTAGGCAACCTCGGCTCTTTCATGACTTGTGGACTTCAACTCCCAGAATTCCTGAGCCAGCATGGCTCAGCTTGGAAACCTCTCCCTTTCCCCTCAGCGTGGCTTGCTCAGGAATTCTGGGAGTTGAAGTCCACGAGTCATAAACGAGCCGAGGTTGCCTACCCCTGGTCTAGTGTAATGAAAATAAGTGCTAGGGGTAATATGATAGCAGTCGTCCAGTATCTAAGGTGGACCAGGAGCGGGCGTGGCATGTCAGCAACCGGTCCACGCAAACAAGCAAAGCCCCATATGTGGGATGCAGGCAGCACACAAAACCACGCACCCTCCAGTCTGCGGAAAAACCTCTCTCCATGGAACCGGTCCCTGGTGCCCAAAAGGTTGGGACCTCTGATCTAAGGGACAGCCCCAAAGAAGAGGGGGGTCAACCTATTTTCCAAAGCACCTGAAGGCAGAAGCAGCAGCAATGGATGAAAATTAATCAAGGAGAGAACCAACCTAGAACTAAGGAGAAATTTCCCACCAGGACAATTAATTAGCGGAACGACTTGCCGTCAGAAGTTGTGGATGCTTCATCACTGGAGGTTTTTAAGAGACTGGATGGCTGTTATCTGAAATGGTATAGGGTTCCTGCTTGAGAAGGACTGGACTAGAAGATCTTCAAAGTCCCTTCCAACTCTTATTATTTTTGAAATTTCCATGGACTTCCCCTGCTTACTATTGATAGTAGAAATGGACATTCAGATTTCCATCATGGAGTTCTCGGAAAATTTGATTCTGCCATTAAAAAAGTTTAATCCTTTAGTCCTTTCAATAGAGAAGGACATTTGCACTCCATGAGTAAATAACAATTAGTGAATTGTTGCTAAGGGAAGATAAATTATTTGCCTCCAATTTTGGTAGAAAACTGGCTGGTAAAGACAGCAATGAGGAAAACATTGTAATCTGATCTATGGAGTCACAACCATATTGTCTGCGTTATTGGAGCCGTTTCCTGTTGTGAGAAGACTTTTTCCATTCTCAAGCTGTGTGACGTAGTTCGGCAAAATTCTGTGTTAATAAAGGAAGACTTTGAGCTACTACAGGATTCTTGAAGATCAAATTATAAACCTCTACACCAGGGGTGTCCAACCTCGGCAAGGCTGGTGGACTTCAACTCCCAGAATCCCCCAACCAGGACACCCTTGCTCTATACAAATACAAAAAAATATTCACACAGTAGGGTTCTCAATAACAACAACAAAAAGAACCTCACCTTTTAATCTGAGATTCAGTTCAATCTTGGTCAATTCTACTTGGGATCCCTTTGCTGTGTTCACAAATAACATGTCCATTATTTAAACAAACTTGGGGGGTGGGAATATCAAATAATTTCAGAAACTCCTCCGAGAGTCAACTCGTGATCTTTTTGTAGCTATTAATTTATTCCTTAGCTTGACCGCTCTCGAGCAAAGGGAAAAGATAATCAGGAAATTAATTGAAACAGGAAAGTATTTTTTTTTTTTTTACCAGAACAGGATACAGTAGCTACAAGTAGAATTAATGAGTCCGATGCTTCTTTGAAAAAACAACAACAGGATTTTACTTTTTGCTCCATTATTATAATTATAAAGGAGTTCTGGTAAAGCAACATCATGCCCTCCACTGGGTGGCAAATAATGACTTTGCACATTGTGCTGAAATAATGTTGTTTATTTGGGCTTAGGTCCTCTAGTGGGAATCCAGATTTTATGGTTTGTAAACCCCATGATTGGAGATGAGCTTGTCAATGCTAATGGCCAGATAGTTCAAATGCCTCAATGTACATTGACCTACCATTGTGGCTAATGCTGGAAGACGACCATCCAGTACAGACTGGGTCAAATTCGTGCAAACCTGGTTAGTTGAGGATCGCTACAGTTATTTGGCAGCCGTATCGTGGTTCTAGCTCACGCATGCTCCTTGTTTTGTAAACTGTGCTCCTTATGCTTTTGCGAACAAACTGTGATCAAGCAAAGGAAGACTGGGCATCACGTTTCAACCCACCACTGTGCTGTGTGTTGTGTTCTGGTTGATCGATAGCAAAAGAACATGTGTATGAAATGTCTTTCGAGCCAGATCTTGTGTCTTTTGATGGTCTGTCCTGTGTTGTGTTTTGTGAAAATAAAATACTGCAAAGCCTGGGCAACGAGGCCTTCCTGCTGTCCCCGTCATTGTGGGTCTCGTCTTAAATCAGGGGTGTCCAGTCTTGGCAGCTTTAAATCCTGTGGACTTCCAACTCCCCAGAATTCCCAGGAAGTCATGACTGGCTAAGGAATTCCGGGAGCTGAAGTCCACAGGTCTTAAAAGTTGCCTTCAATAAAGGGCATTGGAAAACAATAAATTGGTGTACGTTCTCTAATCATTGTTGCGCGTTGTCCAGAGACCTTAGACCAGGTGTAGGCAACCTTGGCTCTTTTATGACTCGTGGACTTCAACTCCCAGATTTCCTGAGCCAGGAATTCTGGGAGTTGAAGTCCACGAGTCATAAAAGAGCCAAGGTTGCCTACCCCTGCCTTAGACTCTGGTAGCACGTTCTGCCTGGCTTCCCACACGCACCTTCTCAAAGGCCCATCCCTCGCAGTTTTCCGAGCACGCAACTGAGTCGGGCACAAGGAGCTCCAGGAACAAGGCCCACAAAAAATATTCTTGCCTACGTAGAAAGCCACTCAAGTGCTGAAAATTGCCGCTGTAAATACTTCAGAGAAAGTCAAGCGATGGGTTTGCCGATTGCAAGGATAAGGCTGCCTCTCCATTTTATGCTGTGCTTTGGCTAAAGGAACAACACAGCTCACTCCAGCTGAGAGGGTCTGGGTGCTGCACTTAGCAGGTAATTGTGAGGTGCCACCAAATGCCTGTAGACTCTGGACTCTTTTGAGGAAAGAAGAGTCTTCTGTCAGGGATGGACTTACAGGCCTCCAGACGTTGCCCAGCTAAACTCCCGGCCACGCACACACCACTGCCAGCCCCAATAGAAGATATTATTGTAGCCCGGGGTTGAACTATGAGGTCCTTGGTGCTCTCTGAGCTTGGTGGTTTTCTTGCAGATGTTTCATCAGTGCTAGAAGGGAAGGGGGCTTGTGGAGTGGAGGAAGGGAGAAGGGGAGGAGGAAGAGGAGGACGACGACTGTGGGGTCCTTGGTGCTCTCTGAGCTGGGTGGTTTTCTTGCAGACGTTTCATTACCCAACTAGGTAACATCATCAGTGCTAGAAGGGAGAGCAGTTTGTGAAGAGGAGGAGGAGAACTGTGGGGTCCTTGGTGCTCTCTGAGCTGGCTTGTTTTCTTGCAGATGTTTCACTACACAACTAACATCATCAGCGCTAGAAGGGAGAGCAGTTTGTGAAGAGGAGGAGGAGGAGGAGGAGGAGGAGGAGGAGGACAACTGTGGGGTCCTTGGTGCTCTCTGAGCTGGGTGGGGTTTTTGCAGACGTTTCATTACCCAACTAGCTAACATCATCAGTGCCAGAAGGGAGAGGAGTTTGTGAAGAAGAGGAGGAGGAGGAGGACGACGACGACCGTGGGGTCCTTGGTGCTCTCTGAGCTGGCTTGTTTTCTTGCAGACGTTTCACTACCCAACTAGGTAACATCATCAGTGCTAGAAGGGAGAGCAGTTTGTGAAGAGGAGGAGGAGGAGGAGGATGAGAACTGTGAGGTCCTTGGTACTCTCTGAGCTGGGTGGTTTTCTTGCAGACGTTTCATTACCCAACTAGGTAACATCATCAATGCTAGAAGGGAGAGCAGTTTGTGAAGAGGAGGAGGAGGAGGAGGAGGAGGAGGAGGACGACGACTGTGGGGTCCATGGTGCTCTCTGAGCTGGCTTGTTTTCTTGCAGACGTTTCATTACCCAACTAGCTAACATCATCAGTGCTAGAAAGGAGGGGGGTGGTGTTGGCTCCCAGTACGAGATCAACATTTTAAGATGTAGGCTTCCCACCACAGATCAAAGTTGAGCTAGGCTCCATACCAAACTAAAAAACCCTAAATTACACAAATGGAGGAAAGAGTTATTATATTCACTTAAGGCGGCACTTTGAACCCAAACCTGTTTTCCACAGGAACAGACTGAGAAATAGGGTCCCCCCCCCCCCCGTATCTTTTAATCAGGAGCATAATTTAAAGTCTGTTTTTTTTTCCTCTCTCTCTCTTTGAAGCCTTTATTTGCTTTGCAAGCTGAGTGCATTTGGCACATCTCCTCCAGGGATTAGAGGTGTATTTTTTTTTAGCGCAAATGTAGAAATCCCTGCCAACAGTTTGATAACGTAGCTGAAGCCCCCGTTTGTAAAGAGGAAAATGTCTTTCTGCTATTACAATATATTTATTTTGAAAAGCAGGAGCTTCCGATAGATAAGCTGGCACGGTGACAGGAAGGCGAAAATTTGGGGCTGACCCCCCCCCCCAAAAAAAGGGTGCGGCAAGGAAAAAATGTTTTATTTTTTTTAGGCGACACATTTAAAAAAAAGTTGGCAGGGAAGAGTTTCCAGATGTCTTTAGCTCTCTTTCGGGAAATTCCTGAAAGACTAACAAAACAAAACATCAGTCAGCTTTTGAGTAGCTTTTTAATAACGGTCTGAAGAAATCATTGTTCTTAAGACGCATTCGTAAAAATAACACGCATTCATTTCCAAGACAAAACAAACAAACAAACTTGTCCACTCGCCCCATTTTACGCCTTTGTGTGGTCGTGAACTTGAGTGAGGAACCTCATTAGAAAGGGATCAAGGTGGAATTCAGAGATCAAGGTGGAATTCCAGCAGCCGGAAGTCCTTCTCCAGAGGGAAACTGTTTTCATCCAGGACAAAATGGCTCTTGATGGTTAGAAGGTAGGACGCCTTGGAATCCGTGAGCAGAGAGTGGCAAAGATCGGCCACCAGCATCCCGTAGGTGGCATCTGAGGAAGCTTCTGCAACAGAAGAAGAAGAAGAAGGACTTCACCATCCTTCCCATCGGAGGCTCCAGAGAAATTTTATTTTCCCTGGCTAGGCCAGAGGTCTCCAACCTTTTCGGGCTCGTGGCCCGGAGGGAAGGAGAACAAGTTTGCAAATTGCGTGCAAACGGGACCGGACACACTGGTGCGGCGCTAGCGGACCCCATTTGCACATGTGCAAATGGGCCACGCAGCCCACGGGCGCTAGCGGCCCGTTTGCGCCTGCACACAGGTGCAAATGGGCCCACGGGTGCTAGCGTGACTGGGGGGGAGTGTACACGCATGAGCTTATGTGCCAGTCAGCCGTTTCCGCGGCCTGCTAGCCAAGAGGCCGCGGCCTGTAGATTGGGGAGCCCTGGGCTAGGCTGTGGGATGAAAGCGCAAGACATGTGGGGAGCCTGTTCTGATTTTGAGGGAATTTATGGCATGTGAACAGATCGCCACCCCTATTCCGAGTTCAGAAATCCATTCTGCCAGGGGTAATCCAGGCTCACCCTGAGCCATGGACCCCGAGTTCCTCGTGTCTGCTGAGAAAATGCCTGTGGGATTTTTGAGTGATTCCTATACAGGTAATCCTCAACTTACGACCACCGTTGAATCCAACCAACCCAGTCTTCCTGAGGCAGGGATCCTGTAAGGTCTTTTGCACAAGAGCTCCCATCATCCTGAGTTGCAAGGCACAGCTGGAGGGCAGCAGGCTAGGTTGAGTCCCGTCCTGATCTTTGAGATGGAAGGTGACCTGATGACAGAGGCCAAGGAAGGTTTGCTACTGTGGGCTCTTTGGCGCTCTCTGAGCTTGGTGGGTTTTCTTGCAGACGTTTCATTACCAAAGTAGGTAACCTCATCAGGGCTAGAAGGGAGTGGGGTTTGAGGGGAGGAAGGGAAGAGGAGGAGGAGGAGGGGGAGGAGGACGACTGTGGATCCTTGCTGTTCTCTGAGCTTGGTTATTTTCTTGCAGACGTTTCATTACCAAAGTAGGTAACCTCATCAGGGCTAGAAGGGAGTGGGGTTTGCAGGGAGGAGGAGGAGGAGGAGGAGGAGGAGGAGGACGACGACGACGACGACGACTGTGGGGTCCTTGGTGGTCTCTGAGCTTGGTTATTTTCTTGCAGACATTTCATCACCAGAGTAGGTAACATCATCAGTGCTAGAGGGAGTGGGGTTTGAGGGAAGGAAGGAAGGAAGGAAGAGAAGGATCTGAGCTGGGTTGCTTTCTTGCAGACGTTTCATTACCAAACTAGGTAACATCATCAGTGCCAAAAGGGAGTGGGGTTTGCAGGGAGGAGGAGGAGGAGGACTGTGGGGTCCTTGGTGGTCTCTGAGCTTGGTTATTTTCTTGCAGACATTTCATCACCAGAGTAGGTAACATCATCAGTGCTAGAAGGGAGTGTAGTTTGAAGGGAGGAAGGGAAGAGGAGGAGGAGGAGGAGGAGGAGGAGGAGGAGGTGGTGGTGGTGGTGGTGGTGGAGGAGGAGGAGGAGGAGGAGGAGGAGAAGGACTGTGGATCCTTGGTGCTCTCTGAGCTTGGTTGTTTTCTTGCAGACATTTCATCAACAGAGTAGGTAACATCATCAGTGCTAGAAGGGTGTTGGGTTTGAGGGGAGGAAGGAAGGAAGAGGAGAAGGATCTGAGCTGGGTTGCTTTCTTGCAGACGTTTCATTACCATAATAGGTAATATCATCAGTGCTAGAAGGGAGTGAGGTTTGCTCTCTGCTTATGGAATTATTATCCTTTGCTTCGTGAACTTGAAATCAAGGGATTGCAGACCAAAAACCTCTCCAGGGCTACGCCACCGATTCCCAAGGTATTACCTACGGTCTTCTTCAGCCATTCTGCGGGAATGTTAAGGAATATTTTCTCCATCAATTCGGATCCCACCTGAACAGAGATTTCATAATCCCCGTCCTCCACGGTCATCACGGCAGGTCTAAAAGGAGGAGATGGGGGAAGGAAAAAAAATAGCAGCATTTCAGTTTTAATGTTTGATGTTCCCTGCTACAAGATACTTAAGGATGCCCTCGTCTATAACTACGTATTACTCATTTATATAATAATAATAATAATAATAATAATAATAATAATAATAATAATAATAATAATAATAATAATAATAATCAATCAATCATCATCATCATCATGAAGTTGGAAGGGACCTTGGAGGTCATCTAGTCCAACCCCCTGCCCAAACAGGAAACCTTATACCATTTCAGACAGATGGCTGTCCAGTCTCTTCTTAAAAACTTCCAGTGTTGGAGCATTCACCGCTTCTGGAGGCAGGTTGTTCCACTGGTTAATTGTTCTCACTGTCAGGAAGTTTCTCCTTAGTTCTAGGTTGCTTCTCTCCTTGATGAGTTTCCACCCATTGCTTCTTGTCCTGCCTTCAGGCGCTTTGGAAAATAGCTTGACTCCCTCTTCTTTGGGGCAGCCCCTGAGATACTGGAAGACTGCTATCATGTCCCCCCTCGTCCTTCTCTTCATTTAACTAGACATTTCTAATTCCAGCAACCGTTCCTTATATATTGCTGGCTCATATTTAAGTGATTGTCCACCAGGACTCTGAGATCCCTCTCACAGTTACTACTATTGAGCAAGGTACCCCCTATACTATGCCTGTGTATTTGGTTTTTCTTGCCTAAATGTAGAACCTTACTTACCTGCCTTCAGGTGCTTTGGAGACTAGCTTGACTCCCTCTTCTTTGGGGCAGGCCCCGAGATACTGGAAGACTGCTATCATGTCCCCCTCTGGTCATTAAGTCACTTTTTTCCTGTGCGTTTGTCACTTTGAATGGTTACTGAAGGAGCTGTTGTGAGTCAAGGCCTAACTGTACCTGTTTCTAAATTAAATAGGTAGCAAGGTGAGCGATCGCGGCTATTACTCAATGTGGAAAGATATCCTGGCCGCTACACGCCTCCCCCCATGCCTGCTTAACTCTTGGCCCTCCTTAACTCAAGGACATTTTTTCCCCCTACTTTGAAGTCCAGAGTGGCACCTAACCACAAGTGGGTCTCTGTGTGCAAGCAATTACGGTGAGCAGAAGGACGCTGCCCGCCGAGCTGGCCTTCCAGTCTCCCACCAACACTTCTTATAATCAGCGACAATTAAGTGGCAATTTCAAAGCCAAAGAAGCCAACTTGCTCGGTTTCACATCGAGCTGAATTATTGATACATCAGAACAGGGGCCAATTACAGCCTTATCAGGAGCCGATAAGGCTGTTGGGAACAATCTCACCAACCTTCAGAGTCTTTGTAAAGTCCAAAGCGCCGTAGCGCACACCAAGGGCAGAAACCTGCCGGGCGAACGTTATTAACAATAATAATTATCCACCTTGTTGCGTTATCCGCCAACAACCGCGGTGCTGTTTGACTCACTGCTGCCTGCCTGCAAAACGGGGATAGTGAGTGAAAAAAAAACCACACACAAAATCCAAACTCAGTTTGGTGCAGTGGACTCCCAAATACAGCCTGCAGCTCAACTCACAACCTGTCATTTGGCGATTGTTCAAAGTCGCAACGGCACTGGGAAAAAAAAAATGACTTAGGAGTATTTTTCACATTGATGATCATCCCCAGAGTCACGTGGTCAAAATGTTGGGGACAGTTATGGTCGTACATTGAGGAAGTACCTGCATCTGACTTTTGGCAACCCTGAAGAAGCAGGGGAGTTTAAGAGAAAGATCCTCAGCTCAAAATCACATGGACCAAACGGCCGGGATTAGAAATATTCCCCAAGTAGCATACTCAAAACAGCATCGGTATTATTTTTCTGAAGGGGAATAAAAGCAGAGAGGATGGCCCTAAGCTACCTTAATACCACTTTATAATGCCTTGGTAAGGCCTCAGTTGGAATACTGCATCCAGTGTTGGTCACCACGATGTAAAGGAGATGTTGAGACTCTAGAAAGAGTACAGAGAAGAGCAACAAAGATGATTAGGGGACTGGAGGCTAAAACATATAAGGAACGGTTGCTGGAATTGGGTATGTCTAGTTTAACGAAGAGAAGGACGAGGGGGGACATGATAGCAGGGTTCCAGTATCTCAGGGGCTGCCACAAAGAAAAGGGAGTCAAGCTATTCTCCAAAGCGCCTGAAGGCAGGACAAGAAGCAACGGATGGAAACTGACCAAGGAGAGAAGCAACTTGGAACTAAGGAGAAACTTCCTGACAGTTAGAACAATTAACCAGTGGAACAACCTGCCTCCAGAAGCGGTGAATGCTCCAACACTGGAGGTTTTTAAGAAGAGACTGGACAGCCATTTGTCTGAAATGGTATAGATGACCTCTAAGGTCCCTTCCAACATTATTATTATTATTGTTGTTGTTGTTGTTGTTATTATTATTATTACTATTATTATTATTATTACCTGCTCAAGCTACTCAACTGAATCTAAAACCCACAAATAAATGAAGTATTTTGAAGCAGAAATCCAAGGGGTGGACAGGGGGGGTTCTAAATGTAATTGAGTGTTTCTGTTTTTCAGACATCCAGACCTATCCTCTCAAATGGACAGGTGAGGATCCTGACACAGTTACATGAGGAAGCCAAAGCAAAAATTTTCGGATCAGAATAAGGGGAGGGCGTCTTGTTTTTTAGAGCAAGACCACAAACGGATTCCTCGAATTCCTATTATCGTTTTTTTTTTATGAAAGTCAGATGTAACTGGAAGAAAGTCTCTTCTCTCCATAAATTGTTCTTTACTGCCCTCTGGTGTCAGCCCACTAGAAGTGCCTCTTCTTAACAGACTAAAAAGAGTTAGCTAGCTAGACAACTGCCTCCTGACCCTCTGAAAAACTGGATGTAATCTCTGGTTTTTCAAAAAGCAGCTGTTTCAACTTTTTGAAAAGTCTCCATTTCAGGCTGGCCTCTTGAGATACTGGCACGTGTTCTTCTGACGCTGAGACATGCAAAGAAAAACCTCAATGTACAGTAGTGGCCAAAATTGTGGAAACCTTTTGGGAAAAGTGTACAGTAGAAATGCCACCTTTGGTTAAGTTTCCACCCATTTTTCTTCTGATTTCTTTATAACTGTAGCCTTGTTCACTTAATAATACTGTTTTACATCGCTTTCTGGGCGACCAGTCAACTCTTTGCACCATGACTTTAATTCTATTACGTTTTACAAGCTCACTCAATGAAAGAACACCAAAAAACCCAACCAACTTGATAATGGTCACATAACACACTGACCAATGTCCTCCTCTCAGCTTCAATACATGACATCAATCACTGAATCTTACTGTGATCTGATTGGCTCATGGCCAAAACAAGATGTCACCGGATTGGCTCTCTAAACACTCACGCTTATTGGCTACAATCAGAGGAAGGAAAGCTACCTGAGATCAACCTAAGCAAGTTGTGCTTCCTTTTTCTGGTTATTTGGCTATAGCTTTTCGTAGGATACAGTACAGATAATTGAAAAAACTATGTTGCATTACATTCTTGATTAAGTTATCTTTCCATTGATATATAATTTTATGGTACTACTCCCCCCCCCAAAAGTGGTGTTATTAGCTATCAAACCTCAAAAATACACTTTTCCCAAAAGGTTTCCACAATTTTGGCCACTACTGTATAATATCCAAAGGTTTTGCTTGAACAATAACTAGGTGTCCCACAAAGAGTTCCAGAATGTAACCTTAAATCTTTTTAATTTCAGGACCCAGAAGTGTGCAAGTGAAAGTTATAGGTCCTAAATAGGATATTTGCAAGCTAGCTAGGCGGGATCAAGTCTGCCCTTCAGCTGGCTTCCCAGTTTTTGAGTGTTTTTGGGGGAGGATGGAAGGAGAAAAATATTGGGGGGGAGGAATCAACTTTGAAAGGTGTCGCTCTGCTATTAGCTCCTCACACGAATCTTTCTTCCCCAATCTCCAAGAGAGGTGAAAAGAGCACATCCATTTGCTAACTGCGCGCTAGGATTTCAACGACTCATAAAACCTACGTGATTTACAGATCGGTTAAATTTATTTGCCGCCTACCTCGCCGCGGAGCTACGCCGGTCGGCTTGCAACAGTAAAAAAAACGAGAGAAATGAAAAGAAGACGAAACGTTAAGAGTAGCAAAAAGTCACGGAACAACAGAATAGCCTTCAAATCGCTCGGTCCATTCAGATAGCGAACGTAATTTACTCAAGTCTTCAAGGCAGGGCTATTTTTTGCTAGACTTCCTTTAAATCATATGCGACGCAGCTACAGAGCACGTTTGAAATGTTAAACAGGAAGCTGCCGGCAACTTTAGTTCTTTGTCTTCTGCTTTTTTTTTTCTTTTTTGCTTACCTGTAGAAGATTTTGACTTTGTTCAAAGGTAAGCAAGTAGGGCACTGTTGGTAGATGGCGTTGTCGTCTGTCTGTAGTTCACAGCCGCATTTTGCGCACCCCTTGTAGGTGACCAGAGGAAGAGAAGCGAATATGTGCTCCAGGGAACTACCAGCGTGAAAGACCAGCTGTCCGTAGGACAAGGAAGCATCCGTGAAGCTCAGCTTTGAAACGCAGCCCTTGACTTCGATTATTCCTAGGAAAGCCGCAAGAACGAAATGTCTGTTTATAGAATACATTTTTCTGGTTTAAATAAGGAGGAGAAAGCTTATAACTATCTCCAGACCCATTATGTAAAAGGGAGGGGAATTTATTAGGGTTTTTTTAATTTTTGTTTTCAGCATCCAGCCCAGAATGGTTTTTTTTTTTTTTTTATAATGTTTAATGTTGGATGTTTGGGTCATTTTTTTTTTGATACACACTGCTGTTGTTGTTACTGTTGGATGTATGTTTTTTTTCTGTTTTGCATTTTGCTCCCATTGACAAGTAAATTGCATAGGAAGTCCTCGGGTTAAGGCCGTAATGGAGCCTGCCCACGAGTCGTAAAAGGGGACAGTCATGTGACCCAAACCTGATTCTGCAACCTATTTGGTGGCAGTCGTAAAATGAACGCGGCAGCCGTTAAGGCAAACAAAAAAGTGCAGCTTGGCTGCAAGCCAGAGGTTAGTGGCTAATTTTCAGCAAAAGCCTCGTAAAATGCAACCAGGTGATTGTGCCAATGCCCTGATGCCGAGGGTTCAAATTGCACTTATATGAGACTGCACGTGTGTGTGAGTGTGTGAGGGTGACCACTAGAAATTCAGATCGGGTGGTAAGTCGCCAAGCCACCTGTCGTAAGTCAAGGACTACTTGTAACTAAAATGAATGTTATCTGCATTGATGTGATTTGTAGCACAGTGAAGTTTAAGATCAATGGTAGCTGCTTGTCCGTACAGACTCAAAGGAAAACCATGTGGGACTTATGCTCATGTGTTAATACCACTTTACAATGCCTTGGTAAGGCCACACTTGGAATACGGCATCCAGTTTTGGTCACGATGTAAAAAAGATGTTGAGACTCTGGAAAGAGTACAGAGAAGAGCAACAAAGATGATTAGGGGACTGGAGGCTAAAACATATAAGGAACGGTTGCTGGAATTGGGTATGTCTAGTTTAGCGGACGAGGGGGGACATGACAGCAGTCTTCCAATATCTCAGGGGCTGCCCCAAAGAAGAGGGAGTCAAGCTATTCTCCAAAGCGCCTGAAGGCAGGACAAGAAGCAACAGATGGAAACTAACTAAAAAGAGAAGCAACCTGGAACTAAGGAGAAATTTCCTGACAGTTAGAACAATTAACCAGGGGAACAACCTGCCCCTAGAAGTGGTGAATGCTCCAACACTGGAAGCTTTTAAGAAGAGACTGGACAGCCATTTGTCTGAAATGGTATAGGGTTTCCTGCCTGAGCAGGGGGTCGGACTAGACGGCCTCCAAGGTCCCTTCCAACTTTATTATTATTATTATTATTATTGTTGGTGTTGGTGGTGTTATTATTATTATTTAAGAGCTAATTCTTGATTATATCCTTGCTGTGTCAAGTCAGAGCACAGAGGATGATGTTCTTGAGGACCCATCCCATCCGTGCAGTTCTCTGTCAGTTATGAACTTTCCCAAAGAGTTCTGAGCCTGCTTTTGAGAGGCGATGTTCTTTGGAAGTGAAAAAGAGACAAACTCATCATGTATCTGATCACACGTAGCCCGTGTAACGTATTGAAGTATTCAAGAGTTTATATTAAGACACAGGGTGTCTTCACTCTGAAGGAGGAACAAGGATCTCACCAGAACTTTTTTCCTCCAGATGGGAAGCCAACGTGGTCGTCTTCACCAACTCTCGGACGTCCCTTCCAAACTTGTCTCGGAAGGTCACCGCTCTTTTATCGTCGTCAAAAAGGCACTCTAGGACCGACCAAGGTGTCGTGTGCAATTCCAAGTCACCAGAGACGGGGTGGTGTTTTACAAAGAGATACTTAAATTCCCAAATATGAGCTAGGAAGGAGAAGAGGAAAAAACGTTCGTTATCGCTGAAGCTTTGGACAAAACATTCTACGCTTCTTTCAGAGAAAAAACAATCTATATAAATAAAAATGTAAATGTTTGTTCAAAATCTCAAATCTCTGAAAGTTCTTCACAGATTGCTTTGAAATTTTGACACAACGTTGCATTCGAATACGCATGTGTTTTTATATACCTATATTATATAGATGTCACACCTGTGACAGGTAAAAACATAGCTTTTAAAAAAAAACAGCGCCATCTGTTGGACGTAAAAGCAACACACGCTAACCAGACTGAGCCACAGCAACGCGTGGCCGGGTACAGCTAGTTCAGTGGTTCTCAACCTTTTTAATGCCGCGACCCCAACCGGTCGTAAGTCGAGGACTAAACCGGTCATAAGTCGAGGACTAAACCGGTCGTAAGTCGAGGACTTTCCCTGCCCAGGAGCGCCACGCATGCGTGGTTCCGCCCCCTGCGCTGGCCGAGGCGTAGCTGGCAAGTGGCAGAGACGGAGCAGGCCGACCACCAGCTGGCCCAGCCCAAGGGAGGTAAGGCACCCACCGGAAAAGGGGGAAAAAAATGGCAGACAAAAAAACTGGCGGACAAAAAAAAATGGCGGACAGCCTTGCTTGGCGACCCCCGTGAAATGGTCGATCGACCCCAAATGGGGTCCCGACCCACAGGTTGAGAACCACTGAGCTAGTTGATAATAAAGGAGATGTACTGCCTTGTTGTGGCGAAGGGGCTTGCGTAGCTCAATGAAGCTATGAGCTACGCCGTGCAGGGCTACCCAAGACGGACAGGTCATAGAAGAGAGGTTCTGACAAAATATGATCCACTGGAGAAGGAAATGGCAACCCACTCCAGTATCTTTGCCATGAAAACCCCATGGACAGTACCAAAAGGCAAAAAGATATGACGATGGAAGATGAGCCCCTCAAGTCGGAAGGTGTCCAATATGCCACTGGGGAAGAGCAGAGGGCTAGTACTAGTAGCGCCAGAAAGAGCGAAGCGACTGGGCCAAAGCCGAAAGGACGCTCAGTTCTGGATGCATCTGGTGGCGAAAGGAAAGCCCGATGCTGTAAAGATCTTTTCTCCATAGGAACTTGGAATGTAAAAATCCATGAATCAAGGCAAACTGGACGTGGTCAAACAAGAGATGACAAGACTGAACATCGACATCTTAGGAGTCACTGAAGCAGTAGGCGTGAGCTTCAATGGACTCCAGAAGATGGTAGAAGACAGGAAGGCTTGGAGGAACGTGGTCCATGGGGTCGCGATGGGTCGGACACGACTTTGCAACTAAGAACAACAACAGCTTCAAAATCCATTTTTCTCTCTCTGTTCAATTATGACAGTAGGAGACTGCCTGAAAGAGTGGTTTTCTTGGCAAGTTTTTTCAGAAGTGGTTTGTCATTGCCTCCTTCCTAGGTCTGAGAAGAAGTATCTGGCCCAATGGAACCCAAGTGACTTTGTGCTTAAGTAGGACTTGAGCTCACCATTTCCAGTCCGGTGTGCCTTAATCACTGCACCAGTCGGCTCAAAAACTTATCCCATCTTAAAACATTATTTTAAAACAATAGTATACTATTCTACACAACTTGGGGCAATCTCTTTTTGTGCGGAGTAACTAAAGCTGTGGAAGAAGCAGTATGGTGGCTCCCGGTCTCAATTAAGGGCCTAGACCAGGGATCTCCAAACTGGGCAACTTTATGACTTTATGAATTCCTTGTGCTGAGTGGAGAATTCTGGGAGTTGAAGTCCACAAGTCTTAAAGTTGCCAAGTTTGAAGACTCCTGGCCTAGGCCAGGGGTAGGCCACCTTGGCTCTTTTTTTATGACTCGTGGACTTCAACTCCCAGAATTCCTGAGCCAGCCACGCTGAGGGGAAAGGGAGAGGTTTCCAAGCTGAGCCAGGCTGGCTCAGGAATTCTGGGAGTTGAAGTCCCCGAGTCATGAAGAAGCCATAATTCCCTCATGCTGGCTCAGGAATTCTGGGAGTTGAAGTCCCCGAGTCATGAAGGGGCCATAATTCCCTCATGTTGGCTCAGGAATTCTGGGAGTTGAAGTCCACGAGTCATAAAAGAGCCAAGGTTGCTGACCCCTGGTCTAGGCCAATGTATCTCAATCTTGGCTACCTCTTGATATACAGGCATGAACCTAAGAATAATACAGAGTCTGTTGGAGTGGGTGGCCGTGATAAGGTTAATGAAAGAAAAGAACTAAGTAATAAGAACTGAAATAAAATCCCAGCTAGGAGAGTCATTGTTTAGAAATTTGGGAGCGGTTTTAACACGAATGAACTTTTCACCGTCTGGGTGCTCCTGCCTCTTCCTTCCTTTGATCAGTCTGATGGTGAAAAGCTGATTCCTGTTAAAACAGAGGAGGGTTGTCTTGTATTACTTGTTTCTTGCGTGGCCTGCATACCTGAAATTATTTTAAAATGTTGAAGGACTGTTTTTTACCTTTCTTCCTTTGAAGCTGAAGACACTGGGCTGCTGCATCTCCCCAGACGACCAGGGCGTAAGGTTGACCCTTGATTTGTTCCACCGTTAAGACGATTTTTCTTTGTTTTTCTTCTTTAAAACTGTACACCGAGTCTAAGGTTGAAAAACTGGAATAATAAATATGGCTTGCTTCCTTCTGGGTTGATGTCAACTGCCCCTCTTTCCTGGCCAGTCTTGTCGCTGGGAACTTGGTCTGACTAGACCAGGGGTAGGCAATCTTGGCTCTTTCATGACTCGTGGACTTCAACTCCCAGAATTCCTGAGCCAGCCATGCTGAGGGGAAAGGGGGAGTTTCCAAGCTGAGCCATGCTGGCTCAGGAATTGTGGGAGTTGAAGTCCACCAGTCATAAAAGAGCCAAAGTTGCCTACCCCTGGACTATACAGTGCTATCTCGGTACTCAATGTTAATTGGTTCTGGGAGGCACGACGGGTACTAAAAAGTATGAGTGCCAAGTAAACCAGGTGATTTACCATGTGACTCTTTGTCTTGGCAGGGAAAAACTTTCTATCTGTCCTTTTCCCTATGTGAGTGACCTTCCCAGTATGGCTTCTTCCTGCCCACTCTCTATGGCTGTTCCCCTCTTCTTTTTGAAGCAACCGTTTCAGAATGGCCAACTTCCTGTTCGCTCTCTGTGGCCATCCCCCTCTTCCTACGTTAGCAACCGTGGCCAACTTCCTGTCCACCCTCTGTGGTTGTCCCACTTTTCCTATGTCAGTGACCTTCCCAGCATGGCTTCTTCCTGCCTGCTCTCTATGGCTGTTACCCTCTTCCTTTTGCAGCATGCTGGGTACTAAAGAAAGTACGAGTATCAGGACAACATTTTTGCCTCAAAATACGTCGAGTATCAAATTCAATCAGTTTTGAAGCAGCTGAATACCACGGTACCACTGTAATTTTATTCAGAGTACAATAGCATGAAGAACGATTTCAGATTAATAGGTTTGCGGTTCACAACACCCTTCCCTTACACCCAAAGACTTCATATTAAATTTTTTAAAAAATGCTTTGATTACTCCATGTTAAAAAAAAGATTTCTACATGGTATTCGAAGGAATGAGGTTCAAGGCTCTTGACGGTGGTATTTTGGATTTCTTTAATAGGCAGAGGGAAGAGGTAGCTATACTTTATTTAAAATTCATTAATAGGTTCTAGACGCTATGTTTTCAAAACAACCAAATTCCAATGTAAGGATTCTGGTGAATGTTTATAATGAGGTTTTCAGTCTATTTAACTGGTAACTAATACCTTTTCTTTAGGAGTGGCAGAAACTGCATTATTATAAGGCTCTCAATTTAGGATCGAGAAGCAAGAAGATTACTTAAGTTAATATGGCGAGCAAGAGATGAAAAGGTCCAAAAACGATCAATAATTTCATGAAAACAAAATGTCTCTCCTTACGTTATCTAGGAAGTTAATTATTAATATTAATAAAGGCTATCGCTAGTCACAAATTCCTTCCTATCACTAGTATCACTTCAATCCTCAGCAAAGGATGTTGTCAAATCAGATGAACCACTCAAGAATCTAAGCTTGTTTGGCCAAGACGGACACATCAGCTGGTCTCAAATCAACTCCTGACCTTCTTATCAACAAAACTTCAGATGCAGGCTACTCTGCTATTATTCCTCTTCTTCTCCTTGAGGTAGACCTAGAAAGGATATTTGTGTGCTTAACAGGAAGAAGGGATAATCTCCCTCTCAAAGAGCTGGACCCCAGATGCTTGGTTGGTATTTTTCTCAGAGAAGGCATTCAGGAAAAAAAGAAATTACATCACATCTCTAATGCACCTTTCCACCGCCGTGCCACACACCAAATTTGGGGACTTTGAGAAGTTCTAGGATTAGAGACTCCACTCACCCGTCAGCACTGTGACGTTGACGATTCTCAACACTGCATGCACCAAAGTATCCGGTTTCAGCTGATTTAGAAGCACGTGGGGAACCTGGTCCAGACTCTGCCTTTGCCTTGGAGGGACAGTTTGAAGAGGGGCGTGCTTTGCAGAAACGTAGGTCAGCAAATCCTGGAGATGACGACTGTCTACTCTATGTGAGACTTGGAAAATAAAAGAGGTTATAATTGATCTCACCTTTGGCTACAGAAGTTGCCTATTTCTTCCGTGGGCGGTTCTACACCAAATATTACTAGTGTCAATGCTGCTAACATTGGATGTTCTTGCTTTGATAACATATGGAGATGCAGCCTTATTCTTCCTTATGCTTTACTCTTAGAATGAGATGATACTGGCGGAGGAGGAGGAATGTGATGGGAGTTGGTTAGACATAACAATATTGTAATAGTGTGCGAATTCTGGGCTTTCGAAATAAGAGATGATAAGAAATGGCGGGTTGAAGAACTGGAAGGAAAGCCTGCATTTCAAACTAATTGGAGAATGTGATTTATGACTGTAAATTAGAGGAGGGAATTGTGTTTTGATACTATGTGCTCAGGGGAGGGGAATTCAGATTTTGGCTTCAACTATGTTAGTGCCGAAGCTATGCTACTCCAATAAAGATTCTTTAAGGTAAACAATGCCTCGAAGTTCATGGTTCATCTGTCGGAACCATGACAACTAGCAAGTAGAACTTAGCCCTATTTCTCTGATACCATTTTATGAAACAGAGATAACAGATATTATTTTAAGCAGCATGATCAGCAAGGGAATACCATATATTTTCCTGCTTGAGCAGGGGACTGGACTAGAAGGCCTTCAAGGTCCCTTCCAAATCTTGTTATTCTACTATCCTGCTCTGAACTTGATAGAAATGTCAGCTTAGGACTTCCTCTACTGCTGAGTCCTTGAAGAACTAGACTTCAACGTCTTATCCTTTCTGTCCGTCTTTTCTGATCTTTCAGTCTGTAATTTTGATTGTGAAACATCTCATTATTACTGAATTTGAAGGGATCCGAGTACATTGGTCGCGTTCTGGTAGCCCTTTTCAGAAGACCAACCCCCATATCAATTTCCTCAACAGATAGAATACATGTCCTTGATCAACCACTGCCAAGGCTAAGAGGCTGGACTAAGAAAGTGGGATGAACAGCAGGTTAAAAACAGATTTTATTGAGCCCTAGATATTGAGCCATCGTTAACAAATCCAAAGGTTTAAACTGCTTTTAACCTTCAAATATTCCCTTCACGCTACAGGTAGCCCTGGACATATCACCACAATTGTGTCCAAAATGGCTAAGCGAGACAGTTCTTAAGTGAGTTTTCCCCATTTTTAGACCTTTCCTGCCGCAGTTGTGAAGTTAGTGGCACAGTTGTTAAGTGAATCTGGCTTCCCCATTGACTTTGCTTGCCAGGTCACACAAGGGGATCACTAGGACCCTGCAACCGTCATAGATATGAACCGGTTGCCAAGTATCTGAATTTTGATCATGTGACTATGGGGATGCTGCAATGATCATAAAGTGTGAAAAATGGTCGTAAGTCATTTTTTTCAGCGCCGTCGGGACTGCTTGAAGTTCCGACGGTGCTGAAAAAAAATGACCTACGACCATAACGAATATTATAAGCCGAGGACTACCTGTACATCATTTGTTTAATAGACCTGGGAAAAATATATTTCTACTAGAAAACGCTGCGAGAAATTAATGGCTTGATGAACACGGGAGTATAAATTATAGTGACCTATCCTTGAGACAAGATCCCTCTGCATGGCGTTTGTCCAGCCTCACCTTCCTTCCAATCAACAGCTGAACAGCTTCCAAGATTGACCAGCTTGGTGGTAAAGGTTGATTGTAGCGTCATTTCTCCAACCCAACGGTTCTCATGGACGACGACATCTGCGAGGAAAAGAAAAAAGGAGATCAATCAATGGAAAGGGCTTCCCGCTCAGATCAATAGGTTAAAAGAGTCCCAAGCAAACGCCAGCCCAATAATTCATCCGGTCAGTTCGAACGGGCCAATCTTCAGGTGTTAAGTCCGCTGTGGGAATGGAGCTGATAATGGGGTCCGTTCCCATGCTTGTGAAGACGTGGTTGGGTCTTTGCGCCTTCCATTCCGAAACGAGAGATAAGTCAGATGACCGGAGGCACATTCCTTTCTCAACCCAAGGTAACATCAAGGGAGAGACAGTTCAAAGAGTAAGTATGCAGGAGTAGCGGAAAGGATACATTGTAGCGAAAGAAACAAAGAGACGGCCCACAGCGTCTTCCCCCCTCCCCCTTCAGGAGATTGGCAGAACCCGTAGTAATGAATAAAAAAGAAATAGAAATAAAATAAGATTCTCCCCCCAGTAATATATGGGTTCTGACAACGCACTCGCCGTGGTGCCATTTAGTTTTTGGGCGTGTAACTCATTTTGTTCCCCATTGTCCGTCCAGTTCTCGGAATATTTTTATTTGGTACTTGTCCATGGGGGTCGCAATGGGTCGGACACGACTTTGCAACTAACAACAACAAAGCCTATTTAAATAGCCCTCTTACAGATGGAAACGTAACTGTTGTATGGACTCACCTGTGCACAGTACGATGTCTCCAGGAAAGACCGTAAGTGATAAAAAGGCAGCTGCTCTCCACAACGCAACCTTCTGTCGCACTTCTGATTGATCAGCAACCACAATTGTGGCTAAAGGGACTTTGGAGGATGAATTACTTCCTGTCTTGATCTCTTTGATATGACAAGGATGTAGCACTACAACCAAGACAGAGTACTTCCGGCTTTTCTCAACACAATCCTTAAGCAATGACAGCTGCTTCTGAGCTTTCCCAATTCCTGGGAACCACATTTTTTTGGGTTTTTGAACCAGGCGAACAGGAGAACATGCTAATTTGATTCTTTTGGAGAGCTGCTGATACCCAAAGGTAAAGCGAGAAGTAGTCACCTGATCTTCAGATACTTGAGATCTTTCAGCATGGTGATCTTCTGGAGAACGTAGCGGTCTTTTCTGTTGGGGTTTAAGGTCTTGTCCTTCCTTATTAAGAGGTGAAGATAGAGGACAACTTCCTTTGACATCTGAGGGATCTTGACTGGAGTTATCTGAATCAAAGAGTTCAATGGAACAATCAGAGATGGCTTCACAGTTTACGTCAACTTTCTTAGCAGCCGTATCACCATCTTCATTTAATTGAACTAGAGGTTCTCCATCTGTTCCGTCTTCCCTATAAGGGAGGCCCAATTCTACTCCTTCCCCTGCTATAGCTTTATTTTGCATTTCATTCTGTTCTACAGCATACTGTCCTGAACAGAGAGCAACTTGGCTTAAAGTCAGAACACTGAGGAATTCATTGTCTGTTGATATGTCAAGATTTGAAGGTGCATCTAGCAGGCTTCCAGGTTTTGATTCATCGGCTTTTTGTGAACATCTTTTCAGATACTGCTTTACGAATAGATTTTCACCCTGAGGTTCATCTAGCAGGCTTCCAGGTTTTGATTCATCGGCTTTTTGTGAACATCTTTTCAGATACTGCTTTAGGAATAGATTTTCACCCTGAGGTTCATCTAGCAAGCTTCCAGGTTTTGATTCATCGGCTTTTTGTGAACATCTTTTCAGATACTGCTTTAGGAATAGATTTTCACCTTGAGGTTCACACTGAAGACCAGGTGGATTATGATTATCTACCACACATTTTTTTAAGTCCTTCACCTCAAACACCGAGGGAGAAGTATCAAGATGGTTACATATCATGTAACTAGCACTTCCTTCGATAGAATCCTTTTTGCTTTGTTGAGACACATGATGCTTTTTCTGGTTCCCTCTGCTAATATCACAACCGGCAGAACAACCAGGGTCAGGTGACTCACACAGGGCCTTCTTTTTATTGCCGAAGGATTTGACACATCCAACAGATGTTGCGCAATCGGTCATAAAAGCATCAGCTGAGCCACCTCTTTCCCCAAAGTTTACTGGGAAGTGATCTTTGGAATTGACAGCCAAAACGGTATCATCTGCGGTCTCATGGCCAAGAGACCTGAAGTCTGTGCTACAAAGGTTAAAAGTGTTATTGGTAAATGAAAGGTGTAATTCTCTCCATGGCTTCTCATTAGCCAAAGAACCATCCTCTTCTTTAGCGTTCCTTGGAGCACTTGAAAGAAGGGGTGCACCAAAGAACATGTGAATTTGAGGCTTTCTGGACATTTTGCTTTCCTTGCGGGTTTTTGATTATGGGGAAAATGTGTCGTGTGATGTACACAAATACTTCATTTTATAAATAGTGCCTAAAACATAATCTTTACTCATTCGTAGCTTTTCAAACAATTCATTCAAGGGTTGTGGTGCTAATCTGTCATAAAATATTCAAGGAACCCATTCCATCCATGGAGTTTTGGGAAACGCGCAATCTTAAATGTTCATAAAAATATTCAAAATCAATTTCATCAATGGATTAAAAACACTGAATTTATACTCCTCTTGGAGTTCACATTCTCTGTATTTAAAAATTAATTTTATGTTATACTGTACATTTAAAAAATCTCAAGAGCTCAAGAGAGTTCAACGGTCATTCTACCTTTTTATCCAATTTACTGTCAAAAGCTCCTCCTAAAACATTGACTTCTATCGGTATAGACCAAGAAAAAGGTGACATTTTTCAAAAGTATACACAATGATACACCGAAACTTTGTTGTTTTTAAAAATGGCAAAATATTCAGTATTGTTCAATACCGTGACAGGAAAAAGTCAGAGATGAAAATTCCCAAATTAGATTTCTCTGTTGAAATGAGATAGACCATTTTTCACCATGCTGGAATCTTCAAGCTTTGCGTTGTGTTACAAAGTGCCAAAAGTTGATTTATTTTTTTTTGCATCAGCAATTTTGGAATATTATGGCAAAATATACTTTGGTAGAGCTTGGAAGTCGGGAATCCAACGTCTCTGGTAGAAATCTCAGAGGTCTGTTCTGTTGCAAAGAACTGGAAAACATACAAAAAGCCCGTTAAGCATTTTAATAACAATTAAAATTGCTTTCTAAAGTAGTTCAGTAGCGTACAATAATCTCTTTCCCAATATGGGCAAAAATGTTGAATGTTGATGCTTATCTGACCATTAGAGGTCACCACGTCCTCAGAAACCTCCATGAGATGTGCATGCATATATTTTTTTTAACTTAATCCAGTTGCAGAAAATTACAGCATCACCCAATTGTACTGAAGAATTTGATCGGAAAGCACCAAGATATCAATTCTCCTAAGGTAATTTAAATCATCATCATCATTTCAAGCAAAATTTCCTGAACTTTTGGCCATTGGAAAGACATTTTTTTAAAATTCTGCTTTGGTAAACAGCTTTTATAAAATATAAAAAGGAAATAATGGGGGGGGGAGGAATTTCCAGAAATAACGGTACTTTATATTCACACTACACAATGGCATGCAAATTAAAAAAAAATAGAAAGAAGAAGAAAAAATATTATTATTATTAGCCCCAAATAAATACGAGATAGGAGACTTAGAAACTGGGGTCATTTAAAATTTGGAAATGATAACGATTAAACGTTAAATTTAAACATCAATGGGAAATTAAAGTTAAGAAAAACTTGCTAGGTTATTGTCTAAAAGATGGAATGTTAAATCAGTTAAGATATGTATAGGCTGAAGATTATTGATGAATACTGGAAAGGTATTTTCTGTTTGACTGATGGAATAAGAACTGGGTTGGTCCAAATATGAGACAGTAGACATTACGGGGGAAAGAGAAGGAATTAGTTTGTTGTAATACTTTTGAGATTTGTATTGATGATATTCAAATGTAATGGAACGACTGTGCTCAGCCGCCACGCTACTTTTCAAATATGTGAATGTAATATTGGAAAATAAATAAAAAATGTAGGGGAAAAAAAAATAAAAAAAAATGTTTAAGGATTTCCAGCAGGTCTTTCTCAAAACCGCTTTATAGTCATTACATAAACGGAGGCGAAAAAGACGAAGGGAGCAACATTGGGAATTTTCCTTGTGTTGTTTGCGCGGGAAAATGTCAGATTCAGCTTACGTTACTTCTGTAACCATTTAAGCTTCAGTAAAGTATACGCTTGGCAAAAACAAACGGCCAGAAGTCTTTCTTTGCTAGATGACTGAATGGGACGATTGAAAAAAAATGACCTTTGGGACAAACATAACCTGGATGATTGAGAATCTCCATAGACATTGATACCTAGAATATTTGATTACTATATAGAAAGAGCAGTAATCAGCTAGAAGAGGTAACAACAGAAGGTGACTTATAGAAACCTACAGGTCCCAACGAAGACCATGTGGTGGCAACACTGATCAGTTACAAGCAATAATAATAATAATAATAATAATAATAATAATAATAATAATAATAATAATAATAATAATACCTGTAAGCAAGAACTGGTGAGATCATAAAATAGAGAAAGTCATAGAAAATGATAAAATTAAACTGCTCTGCGACTTCAGAATTCAAACAGACAAGCACCTGAAACCTAAAACCCCGGATTTAACAATTGTCGATAAGAAAGACAAAAAAGTCTGGATAGTGGACGTGGCAGGGCCTGGAGACAGCAGAATAGAGAAGAAAGAACTGGAGAAGATAACAAAATACAAAGACCTACAAATAGAAATAGAAAGACTGTGGCAAAAGCAAGCAAAGGTAGTACCAATAGTAATAGGCGCCTTGGGTGCAATCCCAAAACTGGAGCACCACTTGAACACTATTGGCATTGACAAATTCGCTATTAGTCAATTGCAAAAGGCGGCCTTACTAGGAACTGCTTCCATCCTGTGATGATATCTGTAATACCATCAAACATCCACGTCTGCCTATCCCAGGTCCTTGGGAAGGACTCGATAGGTAGACAAAATGCCAAATCCAGTCTGAACATCTGGCTGACTGTGCGATGATCCATAATAATAATAATAATAATAATAATAATAATAATAATAATAATAATAATAATAATAATAATAATAAAGTTGGAAGGGACCTTGGAGGTCATCTAGTCCAACCCCCTGCTCAGGCAGGAAATCCTATACTATTTCAGACAAATGGCTGTCCAGTCTCTTCTTAAAAACTTCCAGTGTTGGAGCATTCACCGCTTCTGGAGGCAGGTTGTTCCACTGGTTAATTATTCTCACTGTCAGGAAGTTTCTCCTTAGTTCCAGGTTGCTTCTCTCCTTGATTAGTTTTGTCCAAATTTGGACAAAATCCTGAAAACTCTACAACCTCCCTTGCTCCCTATTCTATTGCTTTTTCCACACATTTATTGAGATTATCGTACTATATCCTGCAAATGAAAATAAAGGTAGTAAGGAAGTGGGGAATGGAAAGAAAGGGAAAAGAAAAGTGTAAGAGAACAGGGAAGGGGAAAAAAAAGGTATTGCCTTCCAACCTTTTTCAGCGCATTTCAGTACAAAACCACGACAAACATTTGTAGATTAACAAATCCAAATAAACCAAGGATGGAATTAATACATGAGGATTCAAGGGTTGAGCAAAGAAAAAGTGGGAAACTCTTAAGTTCAATGAGGAACAGTTTTAGCTAACAATTTTAATACTTAAATCTTTAAAACCTGTAGAAGTTAAGTGGGTTTGACTGATTTCAAACGTGTTTGTTCTGTATTATAACTCTGGGAAAATTCCACAAACAGTTGTGTATCGGTAGTAGCCAAGCACAGGTTAAAGGTTATGCTATGTTTAACAAGAGATGTGATGAAATTTTAGGCACTGACCTACTATCAGCAAGATGGAATTTGCTATCTGCCGGGAGAGTTCAAAAGTAAAAGAGGAAGAACAAGAGTAAATATTTCAGGCAAGAAAAAAAAATGAAATTCCATTCCATCCTTGTTCATACATAAATTAGATTTACTAGTAAAAAGGGGATATTTTATTTTAGATCTGGTAAATTTCTAATGTTCTCAAAATTTCAGAATACTCAGTATTTATTTATTTGTTGGAACTGTGGGAAATCTTGAGATTGCAACATGAAACATGGAAGATTACTCGGACACGTATTAAGCAAAAAGGCAGCAGAATGAAAATCGTGGCCTGCCATTTCTGTCAATTTTGTTTTCCTCTGACCTGACCTGCTACTACTTTTAGGTGCTTCCACATTTACGTTACCCTAGACATGGGAAAAAATGTGGGCCGTATATGGGTCTGCACCTACAAGATGGACGCCCTCCTGACTGGTGAAAATCCCCCATTGAACTTATGGAAGTTATTTAACATAGAATAACAAGGTTGGAAAAGTCCTTGGAGGTCTTCTAGTCCAGCCTCCTGTTCAAACAGGGGACCCTATACCATTTCAGACAAATGGCTGTCCAGTCTCTTCTTAAAAACTTCCAGTGTTGGAGCATTCACCGCTTCTGGAGGCAGGTTGTTCCACTGGTTAATTGTTCTCACTGTCAGGAAGTTTCTCCTTAGTTCTAGATTGCTTCTCTCCTTGATTAGTTTCCACCCGTTGCTTCTTGTCCTGCCTTCAGGCGCCTTGGAGAATAGCTTGACTCCCTCTTCTTTGGGGCAGCCCCTGAGATACTGGAACACGTATCATGTCCCCCCTCGTCCTTCTCTTCATTAAACTAAACATACCCAATTCCAGCAACCGTTCCTTATATGTTTTAGCCTCCAGTCCCCTAATCATCTTTGTTGCTCTTCTCTGTACTCTTTCTAGAGTCTCAACATCTTTTTTACATGGTGGTGACCAAAACTGGATGCAGTATTTCAAGTGTGGCCTTACCAAGGCATTGTAAAGTGGTATTAACACTTCTCGTGATCTTGATTCTATCCCTCTGTTAATGCAGCCCAGCACTGTGTTGGTTTTTTTGGCAGCTGCAGCACACGGCTGGCTCATATCTAAGGGATTGTCCACTAGGACTCCGAGATCCCTCTCACAGTTGCTACTATTGTACATTTGGCTTTTCTTGCCTAAATGTAGAACCTTACTTTTTTCACCACTGAATTTATTACCATTATGGTTGATGTATCCTAAGTCATGAACTGAATAAGGCAACTACATGAATTAATTCAACAAATATCTCCCAACCCAGTGCCCAGGGGAGACCAAGCTAAGTCTTGAGAGTCTTCTGAAAGACTCAATCAGGGGGAAGGCTGTTCCATAGGACAGGTATGGGGAAAGAAAAGACGTGTCTTCTGAGAGCTGCCAAAGAATACTTCTTGAGTAACAAAACCCAGCTATGCCCACCTTGCCAAATGCTATCAGACTGCTGCTTTGTGTGAATACTGATTATATTCCAGATAGGTTTTATCTCTGACCCTTGTGAAGAAACAGGATGACCGAGTCACAGGGGCAGCTGTTAGTTCTGGTCTTCTACATGAAGAACATCATCGTTTCAAAATTTTCCATTCCTAGACTTGAGGGGAAGGGATCAAATACAGCTTCTCAGATTTAGCACA